TTTCATATTTTTAAATAAAAAATAACAAAATTTTATCTTTATAAATATATATATATATATAAACAAAATTTATTCCCTTTCCTGCATTCCTTTTGTCAAGAAGAAAACCTGAAGCACAACAGTCAACCCCACACAAGCTCGAGTTGTGAGACCTTAACTTCTAGATGAGATAATATTTGTTCTTAAATCAAGTCTCAAATTCAAATTCTCTACCATCAAATGGGGAAGGGAAAAAAATCCAATCAACAACGACGAAGATATTTGACATGGCAGAATTTCAAGAGAAATGACAGATTGTTATCATTTCTCAACCTCATAAGCGGCATACAGCCTTGCACAATTGAAATTTTGCTGTGAGAACATACATCAGGTATAGCAACTTCCCCCCAGGGCAAAATGTTTACTCACTGAAGCCAAAGATATGTAACCAAATCTCACAAGGAAAATAGAAGGATGGGTGTGACTGAAATGACCTAACCTAAACACCAAACATTAAATCCATGATTTTGGACACAATTGATTTGGTTGGGGAAGCAATGGCGCCTCCTGACTGTTGTGCACTGGCATTGCCATTTTGGATATAGTAAGGGCGAGAGGTACTGAAACTATTAGACTCGGATGATCTACTTGATGGTGGGGGTAAAGTCATGAATCCCTGATTGTTGGGTCTTTCATTCAAAGCCTGGCGCTGTATTGGGTCGATTGGCTTCACACCAACAATTAAGACTCCATTAATTTGCATTCCATTCTTGCTGACAGCCTTCTGAGCATCAGATCGGTTCTGCACCAGCAGAAAAGCAAGTTCAAAACTGGGTACACTAGTTTCAATACAAAATAATTTGATGACAAAAATACCACTACAGAATTCCATATTGCAAGCCAGGTCAAGGAAAACTGGCAGAAAACAAGAGTGGATACAACTCAAAAATGAACTCTGGTTAAACAACAATTCCAATTCAGGAGAACAGCACAACTATAGGATACAGAAGTAACATGGTCTACATTCCACATAAACAAGAATATTTGAGCCTAAGCATGTTTTATAAGCCAATTAAGAGGAGAAAAAATCATCAATTTAATTGCAATGGAGTTCAGATTCATTCCCCAATACAATGGTTGATGGTTGGCCAACCAGCATAAGGACACTGACTCAAGTCTCAGGTGGCGGCATGCATTTGTTCTAGCAAAGTGCTGAAGGGTGGAAATTGTACACTAAACTCCTAGTAGCACACTTCTATGCAACTATTAAAGGGTAATGAACTAGTTAATGATTTAAAATTCACATTTGTAAAACTACATAAAGCACATATAATTAGCAACTTGGAAGTACCATAATGAAGTCACATTGCAATCCCACAAACACAAGAACAAATTAGTCATTGGGTCCAAGAAGGCGAAGCAAGGCTTAGAAGCCAAGAACCTAAAGTTTAGAGCATCATCAATCAAATCAATCAAGAAACTTAATCACAGGCAAAAAAATAGATGGATCAAAATTTCACAAAGTGTGTCAAGAAGAAGCAAAGAAATTTCACCATATTAAGCTTTCTGCAAAGTCAACTAAACTCTTTTGACAATGACAAGTCAGCTTTGAACAAGGCAGAAGACACATGATTCTTAAACAGTGTTGTTGCAAACATTCTATATTTAGACTTATCTTAGTTCCCTGACTTCTACCACACTTATGAACTTATAGCCTTTTCTGGTCTGAAATTGACTTACTTTTCATTTAGCAAGATAACATGCAAAATATTAACAAGATGACATGAAAACTTTAAACCCACAAAAAGAACAGAATGGAGAATAGGCAGAGTAAAATGTAAATTAACATTTCATCAAAGAAGAGTATGACACAAATCGAAACTACAGGGAAAAAATTAACCTGGTACAGAATGTGCATCCAATTAGCATCTCTTGGTCCAGGAACATGCTTCAGGATCAAACCACACTTTTCAAACTCCCTCAAAACTAAATTTGTATCACCAGGGGGAAATCTGGAAAGAAAGCTCATACATCAATTCTAGATATCTATTATGCATATAATAACAAGTAAAAAAATATATTTGCATAAATATGATAAAGATACATGGCTTTGCAGATTTAAGTCCTAAAGGAAGCGAGAAGTGTTAGGCCTTAAAAAGTAAAAACCTCAATCATCTAAATGCATGTGTCATAAAGTATGAAGCGTTTCAATAGCTCAAGGCTAGTTGTTCTTGCTAGGACATGAACTACATATTTGCTTTCATAGAAACTAGAGGAAAAATATAACAAGTTTAAAGTAAAATAACATAAAAATAGAACAATTTGAAGCCTAGAAAAGGGTACAAAAACTTTAAAGCTCAACGGCCCCTAAAAGTGTCGAGAAGCATGACCATCCAAGGCCAACAAAAATTTTATAATACCCCTACTTGCCAATGCAAATATAATTATCAGGCATAACCAGAAAACAATATCCATATTCTGTAAACAAACTGACATCACAACACCCCCACAACAAAATACATAATTTTGACATGTTTATATTCTACCCAATGCTTTTACAGAGAAAATTTAAAAATTCTATGAAAATAAAGCAACTCTTCCTCTGTTAAGTTTCATTTCCTTACAAGAGAAACATAGAGAAGAGAAGCAATACAGTTGCAAAGATGGTTAACTTATAGCAAGACAGATTAACAGCAGACAAATAAATAAGCAAAGTATGCACATACCCATAAACAGTAACCCATTCTTCCTCATCCAGATTCCCAGAAGGTAAGCAATTCCTCTGCACCTCAGGCCTTGCGACTTCCCTCGGTGGTGGAAGTGTTAACAAAGCACTGGGCTGAACTATGCCCTCAACAGGTGAACCTTTTCCCTTGTCATCCTGCTCGGTACTACTTGTTTTTGCTGGTGACCACCAATTCAAGCTTGATGATCCCTGCTGATTCATCTGCCCACCCGCCACAGCCAGCGAAGTGCTAGCCTCTGATTTGCTCTTAACTGGAGTCAAGTAATCACGACCCGAATTTTGCACTGGTGCTCTAGGGTCTGACTTGACCTCAGGAGATACAGGGTAATCAGGTATACCAGACTCGGGAGAAAAATCCGACCGGTCCTCCAAAGTAAACATAGGAGGAGGAGGAAGATCCGAACCCCCAAAATTCTCACGCCATAGAGCTGAGACTGCCGCTGCCTGACCTGGACTGGAAAATTTCCCTCTCCGGGCAGAGACGGGCGATGCCAAGTCATGGAAAAAGAGCGATTGCCTCCCCGATTTAGGAGTCCTCTGCACTGTGGTGCTCATATTCACAAATAAACCAGCTCTAAAAATGGGTCCTGCACCAAGCTTAAATTAACCCATGAAAAACAAATTAAGAAGCTTAACTATGCACAGAATTTCTCAGGAGCCAAACAGAAAATGTTGAACTGATTCCAATGATTCTGGGTCTACACAGAAATGATGAGAAAGAGAAAGAGTACCTGTTGATTGAGATCAGGCGGATTTCCCCTGGAAATGAGAATACTCAGAATCGAAGCTCCGCTCAAATGGAAAAAATAAAACCCTAGAAATGGAGTGTTTTCGAAGTCCTAAACCCCAAATTCAATTTTCAAATTTCTGGATTCAGTCACCATTTTAGGCTGCGTCTGAAATGACATATCTAACCTCCTTTCCGCGCGATTCTGCGTTCTGCTCAGCCCAGGGTGAAAATGGTTATTTAGTCATTGACTACTAAAGTTTCTATTATTTATTCAACACAAATATGTAAATCACAATTCAAACCTTGTAGTAATAAATTAAAAAAAAAAACCAGTAATGATAAATATTTATATTTATAATAATATATA